ACCTCGTGATCCACCCGCCTCGGCCTCCCAAAGTGCTGGGATTACAGGCTTGAGCCACCGCGCCCGGCCCGCTTTGTTTTATCTTTACAGACTATAATTGTTTAGAGAAAGTCAACTGAGTCCTCAAGGTACATAATTATAAATCAAGTACCCACCTTATTTTCCATGTTGTTATAACTAGTTCTAATTCAAGAGTCAGTAATTAGTCTGCAATACAGATCTCATAAGGAATCCCCCAAAATGTAATCAAAATGTCCAGGCCTCATCTTCCTGTGACAATAATATAATGTTATTATTGCCTGAATGCATTATTATTATTGTTTGTTTATTTATTTATTTTTGAGATGGAATCTCATTCTGTTGCCCAGACTGCAGTGCAGTGGCGTGATCTTGGCTCACTGCAACCTCTGTCTCCCAGGCCAAGCAATTCTCGTGACTCAGCCTCCTGAGTAGCTGGGATTATAGGTGTGCACCACTGCACCTGGCTAATTTTTGTGTTTTTAATAGAGATGGGGTTTCACCATGTTGGCTAGGCTGGTCTTGCTCTCATGACCTCAAGTCATCCGTCTGCCTCAGCCTCCCAAAGTGCTGGGATTACAGGTGTGACCACCGTGCCCGGCCTTCAAATACGTTATTATCTAATAATTATTGTCCAATTCAATGACTTCAAACTTTTACCTACTGCATTGCGAGAATTTAGCTCCCCTCCCTGACAGTTTCCTCAATCATTTTCACAAGTTTCACAGGGGCTATCTCAGGTGTGTTCAAGAATGTGCATGCACATATTCCTATTCCCTGGGCTCGTTTCAGGGTGTTGTGCTTCTGTCTCTGACTTCACCTGGGTCTAGATGACTGATAGCCTCTCTGCTGTGGCTGTTGCTAATGGGATGAAGAAGGGATGGGGAGGAGTGGACACTATCCATCACTTTTACTAGGAAGTCTCAAGTGTAGAACAGACCCGTCTCTTATTTTCCCATAGCACTGGTGAGATCAGGCGGAAATGTAAACGATATATTGCCACAGAGAGTAATTTGAACTGTTTTGCAGAGCGTGGGAAAAAAAGGATAAGCCTTTTTTAGTCAAGGCACTGGGCACTCTAGAGTTAGTACCCTAAGAATACAATACACATTGGCAAGCTGTATAGGGATTCTGGCACTCCAAATGGGTTACAGGGGAACCTAAATACTAAGCAGATTTCATAGACACCTCTTAAGGGTCCTAAGTCTCCACCAGGATCATTTCCATTCCAAAACCACCCCCTTTGGGCACTTCCTCTGAGCCTGGAGAAGTCATGTGTTGGCCTTCTCTTCCTTGAATGCAGTCACAATGGCAGCAGCATGGAAGTTCATATTTGGCTAAATAAGTGAGCTGATTCCCCATCTTGTCTCCAGCAGCACCACTTTCCCAAAACTCCCTGTCCAAGTCTTACCTCCACAACAGTAGAAGGAGATCCAGCCCATTATTTACAAACTGCCAAGTGGTAAATGTTCTCATTTCACTGAGATCTGAGGGGATGCCACAAAACACTACTGTTTTCTGGTTGGGTGGTGCCCCCTCCAATCTTGGTAGCTTTCACATCCTACCCAATGGTACTCTGAAGTGTGGCATCCCTGACTGATACTGGACTGATCCTGAGAACATCTACAAAAATCTTCCCCAAGTTTTTCAGATTATTTGTACTTCCTCCCCAAATTGAAAGTGATATCGTTTCTTTTCCCAAGGTATTAGCTTGGGAGGGGTGCCTTGGTATTATTGTAACTTAAGTCCACATTAAAGTATATCACTAAGGAAAACTTCAGAAATGTTTGGATACAGTTGACCCACACAGGTAACACATGGGTGTTCATTTTATCTCAGGCACTCCTTTTTTCTAGACCAAGGCTTCTTACTGAAACATACAACCAGGGCCTTTTGTAACTTAGATCCTAAGATTTTTGAAACTTTGATGAGTAACCTGCTGTAAAAACTGTTGTTTAAAAGCTGAAATTAGTTTTGGTGTTACAGGAGATGGAAGCTTGAAATCAGCTTTTGGACATTTATTTATTTATAGTAATATTAATTTAAAAACTATAAAGTTAACCAAATGCAGATGTCTTAGACTCTGAACCTAAGTGTTTAGTTTGTTTATATAATTTGTTATACATGATTATTCCTAATAGGCTTGGTTACTTGGAGAAAGTTAGGCTCTTCTATGTTGCAAATCTTTAATTGTTCCTGTGGAGTTGTTAGGATCTTGTTTATGTAGTTTTCAGGAGATGAGAAGGTAACACAGAGAGAATTGTAAGAAATATATAAAGTTGCAGTCTTCCTCTCCTGGTAGAAGAGGGACTGGACTTTATACATTAGACTGGAGTTGGACAGGAAATATTCTTGACAGTGCTTCTTGGTGTTTTGAATATTAGAATCATTTGAATTAGCATAAGGTAAAGAGTCAACTTATTTATAAAGATTCAGAAGAATCGGCCAGGTGTGGTGGCTCAAACCTGTGATCCCAGCACTTTGGCAGGCAGAGGTGGGCAGATCGCTTGAGCTCAGGATTTCTAGACCAGCCTGGGCAATGTGGTGAAATCCCATCTCCACCAAAAATACAAAAAATTAGCTGGGTGTGGTGGTGCGCAACTGTGGTTCCAGATATTCAGGAGGCTGAACTGGGAGGATCACTTGAGCCTGGGAGGCAGAGGACAGTGAGCAGAGATCATGCTATTGCACTCCAGCCTGGGTTACAGAGTGAGATCCCATCTCAAAGAAAAAGATAAAGACAAAAAAAAAAAGATTCAGAAGAATCACACAGACTCCCAAGGCAGGAAGTTCACTGGACCTTAGAGGATTCCAGAGGAGGCTGGGATCTCAGATAAAGAAAATCAAGCCAGCCAGTCGCTCGGATTTTCTAGAGTCACTCTGTCACTCATCTTTGTTTATACTTTGTTTTTATCTCTACAGCTCAGTTTTTCCTGTTTATTAGTGTGTAAATGCCTAAAAGGTGATACCCTGGTCAAATTTTACATCTTCTCAGTTCAAGCAAGCAAAAGAGGAAATCCAGATTTCCAAGCGTAAGAATAAAATTGTTGCAGCATGGGTCAGGTTCCTTTCCTTAGTCCAGTTTGCTATAGTCAGAGGGTCCAAAACTAGAGACAAAGGCTGCTGGAGCCCATGGAGGACTGTGGACTAAATACCACAAAGGATGCCCGTTACCCTGGGCTTCATACAGCTCAATCTGGGCTTATGTTCTGGCTGGCTACATATACTGCTAATTCTGAATAATCCAGTCTTCAGAAAATGTGCAGCTTGTGAATTATTATGTTTTAATGTGGCTCACTTGTTGGGGGCCACAAAGGAACTTAACCTCTGTGGGTAGGGGTGTGGTTTCTCTTAATGGAAATTCCTGTAATTCATTGTATTACTAAATGGCAGGTTCTAGAGAACAAAATGAAACAACGAGGCAGATATTAAACCAGATAAGCTTGATACATAATTTCTGCTCTCTGGGTTACTCAGCAGCTGGGCTTGGATTCTTAGGCATGTAAGTGGTTAGAGAACTTTCAGTAGTGGGGGCGACTGATCCCCTGTCATTGGGACAGAAAAAGAAGCTAGACAAGGAGGCACCTTATAAAGGACACTGAAGATATTCCTGGGTCTCTGGTAGCTCAGAAAAGCTACAATTACTTGTAAGTTACCTTCTAAATATTCAGTAAAATATTGCTGGGGAAGTCAAAGGAAGAAACTGATCCATTGTAGGGATGTGGTAGCAAAAAAGTAAGGTTGAGCATGTCCCTCCTGCTCTCTTACCAACATCCAGTCCACAGTGGGAAAGCCAAGGAGAAGATACCTAGATCCAAGACATGGAAGAAGGAGAGGTGTGGCTCTTGGATAAGGGCATTGGAGCAACTTGAACAAATATGAGATAGGACTTTGTGGGGACTCTCAGAATAAAAAAAAAAGGAGACATTTTGTGGTAAGTTCCTGCAGTTTGATAAATTGGGGCTTGAAATCATTATAATATGGGAATTAAAGTAAATGTGGCTGGGTGCAGTGGCTCATGCCTGTAATCCCAGCACTTTTAGAGGCCAAGGTGGGCGGATCACCTGAGGTCAGGTCACTGACCAGCCTGGCCAACATGGTGAAACCCCATCTTTACTAAAAGAAATACAAAAATTAGCCAGGTGTGGTGGCATGCACCTGTAATCCCAGCTACTCAGGAGGCTGAGGCAGGAGAATCACTTGGACCCAGGAGGCGGAGGCTGCAGTGAACCTAGATTGTGCTGTTGTACTCCAGCCTGGGTGACAGAGTGAGATTCCCTCTCAAACAAATAATAATAATAAAATAAATAAAGTAAACATGACTTCATTTTGTAGTCATAGGCTGACAAGGCCTGTACATGCCAGATACAGCTGAAAGTGAAAGACAAATGGAAGTAAGCAATGGGTAAATCATTAAGCAAAATATATTAATAGGATAGAATATTTTGTAGCCATTGAAAATAATATTTACAACAGATATCTGAGGAAATCAAATCATATATTCTTAAGAAAAAAACCCACATGACATCTAGTATCATATCTACTATGTACAGAGGGTAGAAAAATAAAATATTAACAATGGTTTCCATGGGGGGGGGTTAAAAAAAAAAGGTTTCCTCTAAGTAGTGGGATTATGGCTGATTTTCTTCCTGCTTCTTTGTTCTTTTGTAGTCTTCAATACTTATGTTGAATGTGTATTACTTTTAGAATTAGAAACAAGAAAAAGGTTTAATCTGTTTTGTCATTGGTCACACCTTTTATAAGCTAGTTTATATCTAAATCAATGCACACAGGAGTATTTGAATATTATCTTCATTTTAACAATCATAGTAAAGAAATTCCAAGCAAAAAGGATGCCACGTAGCAAGCTCTGCTCCATCCTCCTTTGTCCGTATATCCTTCTCTAAGAGTCTATCTGGCTTTCTTAAGGGAAGGTCCCTCACTGGACTAACCACACTCTTCCTTTTCTCTTCTTCATGCAGATTATCTCCAATATTCCAGGGCCTTCTTTCTCATCTCTATCTTCACCATACTCATTGGCCTTGGCTGGCTCTTCAGCTCTTGCCTCCCTAGTAGAGGAAGCATGACCACCAACTTGGATTTGAAGGTATCCATGCTCAGCTTCATCTCAGGTACAGACCAAGACTGGCAGGGAATACCATGGTAAAATAGTCAAGGTAACAAAGTTTCTCCATGGAACTCTCATACTCTTTTTCTTATCTCTTTGCTCTTCTTCAGTATCATGTCAACTTGCCAGCTACCTGCCTTATCTAATTATATAGAACACATCTTAGCTGACTTTACCAGGGTATAAATCCCATTCTCTCATCTTGGTCAATCCCCAAGTTTTTATCTTTTTGATCCTTGCCATACTTATGGCCTCCAGAGGCCAAAGAGCTGGGTGGTGGCAGGGAAAGCAGACTGAAGATGCTGATGGATTATGACATCTTTCCTTCTGGTCCTAGCTACCTGCTTGCTCCTCTGTCTCAACCTGTTTGTGGCACAGGTTCACTGGCATACTAGGGATGCCATGGAGTCAGATCTCCTATGGACCTATTATCTTAACTGGTGCAGTGACTTCTGTTACACGTTTGCTGGTGAGTCACTCCCCTGCTCTATGCTAGAAGGATGGATAGGGAAATCACTTCTGGAAAGGGAGGCATAATCTAGGAGAAATAGAAACACTGACTATTCCTTTTCAGAACACTGATACTTGGAGGGTCAGTATGGTGTAACGAAGGAAGGGTGAATTTTGGAGTGTGAAAAGCTAGCATTAGCAACTTGTTATATCACAAAGTGAGGCATGGACAAGTTGAGAAACTTGGCCAAGACCACACAGAAAATAGTGGAACAGAAATCAGAATCTAGGAGGTTCAAGCTTTGTCCTAACCAGTCTGAGAAATACTATAATGCAATTGGAGCCCAGGAGGGTAAAGTAACTGTGCTGAGGGAGAGAAGGGTTCACTGAAAAGATGCCTCTTAAACTGGTTATTAAAGGATGGGTAAGAATTTTAAAAGCCAAAAGACCATTGCCTACTGAACCTCACCTCAAATTATTCTCTTCCCCTAGGGATTGTCTTTCTTCTCAACTACTTTACTTCCAGATCTCCTACCCGTGATCAAAGCATCACTGTGATTCCAACAGAGATATCAAGGCTGGGGTTTGGTCCAGTGACTACAGTATCACCTGCTAAAAATGAAGGGCCAAGGTCTAAGATGAAATCTCTAAATGTGAAACAGAAAAATTTACCAAAGGCAGGACTGTGATGGTGATAGGAAAACCTAACTATTGCTTGTCTTAAAAGCAGGGGAGAAGCTGAGTTGGGAATGATTGCATAAATTCTTGGAAACCCTCTTAATATCATGTCCATATTTCTGGAGAAGACAGCATTAAAGCTAATGAAATGTCTTTTGTGTGCATTGGGTCAAAAATATATATGATAGTCACAAAGTAAGTAATAGCTCACTTAAGAAAAATATTTCTTTAAAAAAAAAAAAAAAAACGACGTTGTTTAGAGTCATGAATGAAAGAAACTAATGAAAGATGCAGTGTGTAGACCAGAGATCTCTTTGGGTGTCAGGGAACTCATGGACCAGAACGGCCCATAGAAAAGCACGTTAATTACTTCTGTTTGGAATTTTCTTTTTTTTTTTTTTTTGAGACGGAGTTTCGCTCTTGTTACCCAGGCTGGAGTGCAATGGCGCGATCTCGGCTCACCGCAACCTCTGCTCCCGGGTTCAGGCAATTCTCCTGCCTCAACCTCCTGAGTCGCTGGGATTACAGGCACGCGCCACCATGCCCAGCTAATGTTTTGTATTTTTAGTAGAGACGGGGTTTCACCATGTTGACCAGGATGGTCTCGATCTCTTGACCTCGTGATCCACCCGCCTCGGCCTCCCAAAGTGCTGGGATTACAGGCTTGAGCCACCGCGCCCAGCTTGGAATTTTCTTTATTATATGCGGCTTTGGGTATACTCAGGATGGAAAGCACTGGGACAAATACTGTTGAATATGAACTTGACAGCATACCAGAAATAGAATAAATATCAATGGATATAAGACCTACTCCTCAAAGGAACTGAGAGATGCTGGGTAGATTATAGGGAATCCATGGGGTCTTACTTCCTGTGAGGATTGTTAATTTGAAATCTTTACGTAAAACCTATTACATAAAACCACTGCTTCTCCCTAGGCAGGGAGCTACCTTAACCAGGCATCCACAAACTCCCTGAAATTCTATACAAAACTTGTATATGTATTCTTCTGTGAAGAGAGCCAGAGATTCCATCAGATTCTCCCCTGTCCCAAGAAGATAGGCTCATGTAAATTACATCAAATTCTTGACAGGCCTGTGACCCCTTTGATTCCTTAAGCATCAACTATGTTTTACTGAGCCAAATGGGACTAAAGGGCTTCCTTCAGCAGATGTATAGTAGATAGATCGATAGATAGATGATAGATAGATAGATGATTGATAGATAGATCTATATATCTATATTTATAATACATCTACATCTTTATCTATGTAAGCTGAAAGATTTTCCATATTTTATATATCCTGTAAAACGAAGTACAGGGGAGGAAGTGGTATTTTCAGGCAATCATATAGGTCTTTTGATGGCTAAAGATCCCTTTCACACTCAGACTAGATTTCATGCATAAGGTCCCTGATACTTATTTTGTCCTTCACATCCTTAGTTGCTGCCACTACTACTCTATTGATTGAGATCTATTCTTCTCCCCAAAGCTGGCAATAGAGTGGACTACAGTATCCAGCTTCCCCTCTTGCTGGATGTAAAGATAAGCCTTTGGGTCATTTTGGTTTAATTGAGAGATTCACTAGTAATCTTTGCAGAAAACAAAAATAATAGACATTGAGCAATTATATAGTTCATTTTTTTTTTTTTTTTTTTTCGCTCTTGTTACCCAGGCTGGAGTGCAATGGCGCGATCTCGGCTCACCGCAACCTCCGCCTCCTGGGTTCAGGCAATTCTCCTGCCTCAGCCTCCTGAGTAGCTGGGATTACAGGCACGCGCCACCATGCCCAGCTAATGTTTTGTATTTTTAGTAGAGACGGGGTTTCACCATGTTGACCAGGATGGTCTCGATCTCTTGACCTCGTGATCCACCCGCCTCGGCCTCCCAAAGTGCTGGGATTACAGGCTTGAGCCACCACACCCGGCCAATTATATAGTTCTTATAATCCTGGTCCTGATCAATAATTCTCAAACATTTCCAAATAGTAGCTGGAAGCTCTTTAGGTTAATACTTAGGCTTTTATTCCTGTGGGTAGGAGCTTACATACAGTGACTGCTACATGCTACTGGAGAATTATCTTTTAAGCAGAGACAATCTTTCATTGCTCCTGTAGAAACTGGATGCCTTCCGTTTTCTTTTTTCTCCCTTTCTTTGTGTGTATGCACCCACACACAGATACACATACATATATACACATACCTCATTTGATCCTGCCTTAGAAAACCCTTTTCTTCATGCCCCTCTTCCAACCAGGTGAATTTTGTCATGGCAGAATTACTGCTGCCTCCTTACTTCAAGTGGCCTCAGTTCAGAGGCTCTTCAGGCTGTTCCTGGACCTTTGTCTGGTTGTAAGAACAGACATGGAGTCAAAGCCAATTCCCCTTCCTCACATTACCACTCACACACAAACTCTAACCTGTACATTAACTGGTTGCTTACTGGGTTCACAATCTTTATTTGTAATTTAGTTTGAATACTTTAATTATGTGACTAAGTTAACAGGATGCTGAACACGGATGACTCTTCAGGGAACAAAAGTTCTAAATGGGGTGAAGGGAAGAAAGCAAGTCTGAGTGAAGGGGGAAGAAGTGAGATAATAAGAAAGCAACAAGTGCCCTGGCTATTAAAGGATAATTGGCAGTAATTATAGTTAAGTTCTCCACTTTGCTACTGGAGAATTATCTTTTAGGCAGAGATAATCTTTCATTGCCTCTTTAGACACTGGATGCTTTCTGTTTTCTTTTTTCTCTCTTTCTTTGCTTGTAAATGATTTCTTAAAAAGCTTAACTGGGCCAGGTGTGGTGGTTCATGCCTGTCATCCCAGCCCTTTGGGAGGCCGAGGCGGGTGGATCACTTGAGGCGAGGAGTTCAAGTCCAGCCTGGCCAATGTGGTGAGAACCCCGTCTCTACTAAAACTACAAAAATTAGCCAGGCGTGGTGGTGAGTGCCTGTAATCCTAGCTACTTGGGAGGCTGAAGCAGGAGAATTGCTTGAGCCTGGGAGGCAGAGGTTGCAGTGAGCTGGGATTGCACCACTGCACTCCAGCCTGGGAGACAGAGCAAGATCCTGCCTCAAAAAAAAAAAAAAAAAAAAAAAAAGCTTAAGTGGATTTCCAGTCAGATAGCAAATTACCCTTTGATACACTCCCTCTGTTTTATATATAATTTATAACAGGTTAAGTGGGAAGAGAGATAGAGATGGGGAGTGGGGGAAGAAGAGAGAAGTATAGTCCAGTTAAAACAAGACAAACATTTTCATCGACTGGAAAAAAAAAAAAGCAACTAATGCTATGATTCAAGCTAAGCCCTAGACTTCACAGGCTCTAAGTCCCAAAGAAAGCACAGGTAAACAGGGAGATAGCTCCTCTCAGGTGAAAGGGACTAAAAGTGCTTCTCAAGAAAGAGACCGTAGCTAGCTTCATAACCCTACGTCAAAGAAGAGCTCTAGAAAAGAAGCTAAACAAAAACTGTTACCCAGCACTAACTAGCTTATCTGGAACTGCAGACCTAAAGAGGGAGAAGGACACAATATAACCTTGCTAAACTAAGCAGCCTGTTGGCTTATTAACTGTGTCTGTGATATTCCTTGGTAACATAATAGAACAGAAAATTGAAATACCACATTATGAGACCTGATTCTGGACTGAGGCCTTTGGCCAATGTAAGGAAATCCCAAAACTACTAGGTATGATAGAATAAGCATAGAGGGAGAAACAAAAACAAGTAAACCAAATGTGCCTACCAACAGAAATTCCTTTTTTTTTTTTTTTTTTTTTTTAAGATGGGGTTTCACCCTGATGGCCAGGCTGGTCTTGAACTCCTGACCTCAGGTGATCCACCCACCTCAGCCTCCCAAAGTGGTAGGATTACAGGCGTGAGCCACCATGCCTGGCCAGAAATTCCAAACATATAAATAAATGTTCAGCCAGGGGCTCACACCTATAATCCCAGAACTTTGAGAGGTCGATGTGGGCGGATCACCTGAGGTCAAGAGTTCAAGACCAACACGGAGAAACCCTATCTCCACCAAAAATAAAAAAATTAGCAGGGTGTGGTGGTACATGCTTGTAATCCCAGCTACTCAGGAGGCTGAGGCAGGAGAATCACTTGAACCTGGGAGGCAGAGCTTGTGGTGAGCCAAGATGGTGCCATTGCAATCCAGCCTAGGCAACAAGAGCAAAACTCTATCTCAAAAAAAAAAAAGAAAAGAAAAAAGAAACGATCAGCAGATGTGGTGGCTCATGCCTGTAATCCCAGCACTTTGGGTGGCCAAGGCAAGAGGATTGCTTTAGCTCAGCAGTTTGAGACCAGCCCTGACAACATAGTGAGACCCTATCTCTACAAAAAATTAAAAAATTAGCTGGGTGTGGTGGCGCACTCCTGTAGTTCTAAGAGCTTGGTAAGTCCTGTGGTTTTCGAATCCTTGAGGCTGCGAGGTCAGGGCTCCAGTGACCATGGTTATGCCACTGGCATTCCAGCCTGGGCAACAGAGCAAGACCCTGTCTCAAAAAAAAAAAAAAAAAAGGTTCAGAAAAAAATTAACAAAGTCAACAATAAGAATATGAATTCATTCTAGATTAATTTGGGGTATAATGTGATAAAGACTAAGTATTCTTAGGATGCACAAACAGATATATGACAGAATCATAAATTAAAAAGACCCAAAACCATGAAACAAAAATAGGTAGAAATAAAGCAAGAACAGGTTTAAATAAAAAAGAACCAAGACGCTGGGCGCCCTGGCTCATGCCTGTAATCCCAGCACTTTGGGAGGCAGAGGTGGGCGGATCACGAGGTCAAGAGATCGAGACCATCCTGGCCAACATGATGACGCCCCGTCTCTACTAAAAATACAAAAATTAGCTGGGCATGGTGGCACGCACCTGTGGTCCCAGCTACTCGAGAGGCTGAGGCAGGAGAATTGCCTAAACCCAGGAGGCACAGTGAGCCTAGATCGCACCACTGCACTCCAGCCTAGCACCTGGTCACAGAGCGAGATTCTGTCTCAAAAAAAAAATAAAAGAATCAAGAACCAATTATAAATCATTAAAATGAAAAAGTAGTAATTGGAATAAAAAATCCAATAGGATAAAATGTAGATAGCACAAGCAACAGAGAGAAACTATTCTATTTTTAGATATATCTAGAACA